CATCTACACCACCTGTCCAGAACCCTAAACCTAAACCTAAACCCTAAACTCTCAAACCCACAGAGTATGAACAAACATGAACAGAGGTTCAGGAAAATAGGAGCTTCGCGACCTTTTCTCAGAATGGCCCCCTGAACCTGAAGAGCTATACCCTAATGAGCACAGCAAGATATCGAAGGATGGCTAGTCCTCTAAATTTGGGTCCCTTTTAGGGTCCTTTTTCTAAGGGTGCTGTACTATATTGTGTGAATCAAGAAAGGAGCCCTCACTTAGAGAACTTTCGTCTGGAGCGACGTGAAACCTTTTTCTATGGCCAGGCCAGCTCCCAGATGGTGTCTGAGGAGGACATCTCCGCGATCAGAAGAAAGCAACGATACACACACACACACACACGCACGTCTATATGCAGATTCAGATCAGGTATGCTCTCTCTTTTCTCTCTCTATTTATATGGTATGCATTTTCGTATATATATATATATATATGCTTATGCTTACATATATATATATATACACACCTACATACATATATATTGGCTGGAAAGCTGATCATACGTAGGGTTTGGCGCCCAACGGTGCCACGATTTGGGTTCCATATGTTTTTTTCTCGAGTGAAGTTGGTCGTTGCATGCGTCCTCGGAGGTGTAAGGAAGTGTCATGTCTTTGAGGTAGTTCCCTGCGATCTATCAGAGGTCTAGGGCTTCAAGTATACAACAAGTTTCTTCTATGGGGTCTAAAGTCTGTAAATACGACCTACTTTGGGCTGCTTGGAGTGTTAGGGGAAGTTCAAGCCCGAGAGGACTGCCAAGCAAACCAGGGCAGCAGAGCGACATGGTTTCGAGGCTTCTGTCCATCCTTGCAAAACGGAGTAGCAGGATACTATAGGGGCCTAAATAACTACCAATACTATTCCTTAGGGTTCCTTACTGTAGAAAAGGTATAGTATACCGCAAAACCCTATTGTAATGATTAAGGCTTCTACAGTATGGTGATCCTGGAAGCCTCGAACTTTAAAGAACTCCTTACAGGGTACTCCTGAAACGGAACCCTTAAGGGGAAAGGGGAAGAGGTTCAGGGTAAAAGCTCGGAAAAAAACCGTCAGGAAAGCCGGGGACTCTAAACCGTTTCAGGGATGGGAGAACCCTCGTTCAAGCCTGGATCCAACACGTTCTGGCAATAGGGCTTTTTAGGGGTTTAGGGTTT